AATTAGGCTGCTGTAGTTTCCTTAGAAATTGTATGCTTTTTACCTATTTTGTAACAAGATGACCTGCTACTACTGGAGACAATCAGTCATTAAAAATTCAGCGATATTCCCTGAAGCTATGTGGTAAGGTGAAAGCCAATATAAGAATTTTTTTTAATGTAAAACGATATAAAGACTGCATATTCATTAAGCACATTCAGGCTCAATCATATTATTCTACAGCATTCTAATTATAACGGCCTCGTACAAAAAGATAACAAACGTGATGGATGGTGTACAAGCAGCGTTTAATACACAGCAGCCACTTTTTTCATTGTTTTGGAGCTATAATTATTAGAAACAATAACAGGGAATAATTTAAGAGGTTCTTGTATTTTCAGCACAAAATACTGAATCGGGTGAGAATTTATCTCGGTGCCAGGAGCACAAGAGGGTGACAGATGACTGACGAATTATTTTTGGCTTGTTTATCTCCTATAATGAAGACTACATGGAGGCGAGAAGGGGGAGTATTTAGGAAAAAACACTGAACAGCCGGTCTTAGATAGTGTCTGTAATTATTTTAAACCAGTGTAACACAACAGCTTTGATAAAGCATAATAATGCGTAAAACGTGACACACTGAGTATAGTACTTAGAGCAGACAGTTTTAGTTGATAATGGCAGCTCATATTAGCTGAAGGCTCAGCTGATACCCTATCTGAGGCCTCAGTCACGCAGGCTTAGAGGCCGCTCGGAGACTCCCTGGCAACTGTTGGTCACCAGGGAAAAATGTGACTGGCGAATCTGCAACCTGCTTTGAAACCCACCTCCATCCCGACTCCTGACTAAATGAACTGACTGGAGGCATTACCTTGCCCTCCAATAACACTGTGAGGAGTCATTTTTGACCAGGACATGTCCTTCAATGCACATATTAAACAAATATGTAGGACTGCTTTCTTCCATTTGCGCAATATTTCTAAAATTAGAAACACCCTGTCTTGGAGTGACACTGAAAAATGACTTCATGTGTTTTTTACTTCTAGGCTGGACTACTGTAATTCATTATTATCAGGATGTCCTAAAAACTCCCTGACAAACCTTCAGTTGATTCAAAATGCTGCAGCAAGAGTCCTGACAGGGACTAGAAGGAGAAAAAAAGAGAAAAAAATCCTGCTCCTCACGTACAAAGTCTTGAACAATTAGGCCCCACCTTATCTTAATGACCTTATAGTACCATATCACCCCATTAGTGCACTTCGTTCTCGAACTGTGGGCTTACTTCTTGTTCCTATAGTATTTAAAAGTAGAATGGGAAGCAGAGTCTTCAGTTTTCAGGCTCCCCTTCTGTGGAACCAGCTTCCAGTATGGAATCGAGAGACAGCGACTCTCTCTATTTTTAAGATTAGGCTTAAAACTGTCCTTTTTGATAAAGCACATAGTTAAGGTTGGATCGGGTGATCCTAAGTCCTCACTCAGTTACTCTGAAATGGGTCTAGGCTGCAGGGTGATTGAAATCCCACTGTCAAAGCGCTTGCTCATAGATGCTCATATAATTGTTGTGGTTTTTCCTCTGTTTTCCTTGTATTAATGTTGGGTCTTTACCTTACAATATAAGGCATTGAGGCAACTGTTGTTTTGATTTGGCACTCTATAAATGGAACTGAATTGAATGTCATAGTGCCGATCTGTTCTGTGCACGCCATGGAGTCTTGCTGCTACTCCCCCAGCTTATGCGTTACATGTATGCAGTTCCACAAACGTAGAACAATTGAGAGGTGCAAAACAGAGCCACAGTGCCAAACGTAATAGAGTGCAGTTAGAAATAGCAATCACCTTTTGACTATAATAGTTTGGACTGAATTACATATTTCAACCATTCAGGTACCTTTCTTTCCAGCCTGATCATCACAGTTTTCAAAGGTGCAGGGCCCCCAGGCACCCCAGGGTGATACCTCACAGTCGATGGGACAGGGGATTTGGCACAGCTGGGATCTGTTGGGGATTGGACCTTCGCACAGCTTGTTTTCCACTGGGCGGGAGGCTGTGCAGATAAACAAAAGGGAAACACACAATAAGCAGCAGATAAAATGAGCCTAATTCTGAGGAATCTTTCTTCTTTAGCAGCATTGAAAGGAGCAGGAACAAGGGACGCAAAAATGCTTATTTGCTTTTATTCCTGGCATAAAATCCCTGCAGAGGGTAGATGAGAGCCACAGTGAAAAAACAAAACATGCCTGTGAAGTAGACACTATTATCCCTTTGTTTTGTTTATCGTCTCCCTGTTAGCATGTCAGAATGATAAATTAGCAATGATTATCTCGTACAACGCCTTGCTAGCAGCATAAAACATTGTGAAGCCCTGCCCACGGACTCTCAACGGAGACATAGGAAGAGGAGGCAACAATACAACACTAAAGGTGTAAGAGAACACGGACAATATCTTGGCTCATGTTTATTCCATGAGGTGTAATTTGGCATCTACTTCTCCTAGTCATGTCATGCTGGATTCTAAAAAAGCTCTTTCGACGAAACCACTGGTAAATGCGTGCCAGTCTGAACTCTGGGGGGAAGAAAGGAGGAGATGCTATCACCGTGCAAGGAGCAGCTCTGTGACAACTGCGCAGAATACATTTCTACACATCTGCATCATGATAAATAAATCTGATGTGTGGAGTTCCTGAAGATACAAAGTTAATGCATTTATTCATGCACAAAATCGTGCAAGTGTCATTTCAAAGTGGATGTTTCTGCTTTCAGAGACATTTTTCTTTTTTTCCCTTCACCCTTTTGAGCCTCGTGAGACTAGAGGCTGACAGGAAATGAACAAAGAGACTAGGAGAAAGGGGACTTTTGATACAAGCCTGACCACACGCAGTATTTAAGGTTTTGCAGCTTAATCGCATATTTTCCATTTGTATTGTTTACACAGTTTTAGCAGAAAGTAATACATTTAATCTGATGCAAAAAGGCAATAGAGAGGTTTCTTTTCCAGGAAAGTAAAACCGACTGCTGACTGTATTTTCCAAACAATGACACCATCAGCATTTAGATTGGTTGCCTTTAAGGTCTGCTTTTATCTTTACAATTCCGGCTCCCTCAGAAAATAAAAGCAAACTGGCAAAACTGGGAAAAAAAAAAATCTTTTTTTGCCTGTGGACAAACCGGAGTAACTACATTATGTGAAGAAGAACAGAGAAGATGGTGCGAAAAATGGATCCCTTTTTTTCTGTGTCCATAGAAACTATTGCAAATGACCTCAGTCGGAACAGGGGTGTCAACAGCCCTCACACTGCGTTGGGAGAATTGACTGATGCTTACGTGGTGCCAAACAAGCTGAAGAGGCACTTGGGAACCCAAAGTCCCTTCTCTGAGAGAAAATTTAAAAGAGTGTTGCATGTAAGTTGAGGCAACAACACCATTCACTGGACTGTGGGGAAAAAAAGATGCTTGCAGGTGGCATGCCAGCTGCAAATGTGCTGTCAACAGAGCTTTCAGCTGACTGCGCAACCAAAAGAATAGTTCATTCCTGACATGTCAAATGGCAAAGCCTACAGGTGTTGTTACACCTATGTTTGAAAGACAGATATTCATTACACTGATATCTACTTTGTTTATGGAATAACTATGTAATCAAAACAGAAAATAGAGATCAAAGGTGATCCCACTAAAGCCCTGACTCATGTTGCAGTTAACTTATCTTAGCATAAAGCCTGAAACCAGAGGTAAACAAACTGCTTGGCTCCGTAACACAACATTTTAAGTTTGCTAATTAACACGTTACACCTTGTTGACTGATTGATTGTTGGTTTGCTGAACCAATCAAGTGTTAAAATGGCAATTTGTCTTGATGACATGCGACATAAGCTTTGGAGGTAATGGAGAGAAGCAGGCTAGCTGTTTTTCCCCGTCTCCAACCAGCTGCTGCCTGTAGTTTCATATTTACCAGACAGATATGAGATCGGCCTTCATCTTTTCGTGTAACTTTTAAAGAAAGAAAATAAGTGTGTTGCCTACAATTTGAAATCATCCCTTTAAAGCATGAAGTCAGCAGCACACCAGCTTCATGCTTCCAGGTTTTTCTGATTAGAAGGAGTCTGGCTCACTGAGCAGACAAGTCCAACCCTCTGCCTGAAGCTCCCCGTATTGATGGACACTTCTGAACCTCTCTTCCTGCAGCTACACTCAGAAAACCTGCAAAGCTGAGCTTGTAAATCAGATTTCATTCTGCGCAGAATTCTGACTTCAACATTTTTTGAGCTATATAGCTTTAATAAAGATAACTATAAAACGCTGATTCCCAGGAATAATGACAAGTACTGTAAAAGGTACTTCTTCACTACTTGGAAAAATTAACTATTACAGTTATTTTTGTTTAATTTAATAATTGAAATGTGGCCTACACAGGGGGAGATATTTGAATAGTAGCTAAAGGTACTGAATGATTGTTTAAAATAGTGAGCCGACCATTATGAACGGTTGAAACATAATTATGAAAATATGAGCTAAAAGTTGACCAGGTCTGATTTAAGATTTCCTACTTCAAATTGAAAATGTTTTGAGGTGAACTGTGGGGATACAACAGACGAAACTACAAAAACCCTGTTTAACTACATGTTGTTATACACAATACAATATCATAAATGTAAACGATTATACATGAACGTTAATTAACTGTAACAGTGTGGGTGGACTGTGTCTGGTTTTAATGTGAAGCTGTAGGAGAATAAGCTGGCACCATCTGTTGTAACAGGAAGTACAGCTATAGTAGATGTTGCCCCTATAAGAAAATCGGCTCTCTGTGAAAACTGATTCTTGGTTGAAAACAAGATGATGAAAAATACATATCAGAAGCTTTTTCTCTACAAAGTCTGAGTATGGATTGATCTCTACTTTTGAAATATTGTAATTAATACCGGAGTGCATTTTTTTAAAAAGAAGATATTTAAGATTCATACAACAATAAAAAAAAAACTCTTCTTCATGTTGAACCTGAAGCAGTTTATTTCCTGTATCCCAACTGTTCCTACAAGACATCTAAAGCTTAAAGTCTCTCATAGGCAGGAGAGCCAAATCATAAATCCTTCAGAACTGTACAGGGAAAGGCAGAAGGGCCTTTTGAAATGCAAAATGTCTAATTCCTTTTACAAATACACTGAAAGTCAAATACTGAGTTTGCTGAGCCACTGTTAATCCACATCTTATTGGAGAACTACACTCTCTTCAATCTTTTAACATCAGTCCATTTGTGAATACTAAATCGGGGGCTGACAGTGTATCAGCCTCTCTATAAAAGGGAGAAAATATCCTGGAGAATATCCTGACTCTCTGTTAGTCCATTTTGTGGTGTACTCTCCAATGAGTCCATTCCTCTATTGTGCAAAAATGACAACGGTAGAAAAAAATCCCTCTTGCAAGTGCGGCTTACTGTCTGCAGCGGTGGGAAACGTCTTGCTATCCGTATTCCGTTTGTAGTGGAACAAAGTTTGTCTTACAGTTTCTTCAAAGCTTTAATTCTTCTATCCAGTAGGAAACAGAACTTTGGTGTAAAACTAGTCATCCTTTGTTTTACTTGAAAACAACACTAAGAACTGGCAAGAGAGCAAAAGTTTGGGATTGTAACTGCACAACTGGCTCGTGTACGCTGAACGTGATTATGATTATCTAAATTATCTAAAGCATTACAGCAGCTGGGACAAACTCTAAGGTGTCATTTCTGTAAAAAGAACAAGGAAGAAGAAAAGCGGAAAAGGAAACAGAAAACAGAAGAGACAGAGAAAGAATAAAAACCAAAGGAAACAACAAAAAAAGGCAAATAAAGGAGGCGAGGAGTGAAGGTAGATGAGGGTAGGATGATGGGAAAGGAAACAAGTGCAAAAAGAGAAGAAACAAAAAGAGAGCAGGAACCATAGATGACAAAAACATAGGACAAAGAAGAAAAGTAAAGACAAAGCAGAGGGTGGAGAAGTGTGAAGAAAAATAAAGAGGAAAGAGGAGAGGAAAGAAGAAAATGAAGATTGACAAGAAAGAAGACAAGAAGAGTTGGTGCAATGAGAAGGGAGACAGATGGAGGAGAAGTTACAAACTAACCAAGAGGTTAGGACAGGAAATGCATGAGGAAAAGCAAAGGAAACATGGCAAAAGGAAATGGAAATGGAAAAAGCAACCAAAAGGAAAGATGAAAAGGATGAAAGCAATTGGAGGAGGGGAGAAGACAGACGGGAGGGAGGGGTGAGGCAGGCGGGGGACGCATAAATCGGGGAGACGGGCTTTGTGACAGCATGACTAAAAACACCTACCTGTAATCTGGAAGGTGATGGAGAGAAGAGGGGGGACACTAGGCTTCTGCTGTTTTTGGGTCTGACCCGCTGCAATTACAAGGGAGATAGCGCTATTAGCTACGCACACACAGGGGAGACAGAGGCACTATCAAAGAAACAGAGGGAGGGAAACGGCACAACGGAGACAGGCAGAAACGAATGTAACAACAGCAGCAGACCTGAGCCTCATAACCCAAACATGTTCAATTAAATGCAGATCAAATCTTTGGTTTGAGTGGAAAGCATAAAATAATTGCTGTGCATGGTTCATTTCTTCCGACAAGGCCAAATCAGAGGGAAAGCCACGTGGACCCTAGGAGCATGCCATTTTATCAGCTTAGATAAGAAAGTTGACACATGAAAAGAAATGACTTTTTTTTACTTAACGGCAGCAGACTAGGTAATGGAAGTGAAAATAAACATTAGCTGTGATTATGCACTGCGACTTTTTAGTCTGTCTGTGTATTTAAAGGAGCAGTTAAGCAATCGCTGAAATGCTCTTGGCTGTATTTGACAACAGCAGCAGATCGATTTCACGAGCTACGGAGCTAATTGATGCCTGTTTGCTCACTGTAGACAGGGAAAAAGTTCATTTAAGCTTAATTTATGAGCAACAATAGTTCTCTCAAGGGACTTTATATTGAAAGGTAAAGATCGTACAATATTCTAGAAAGAGCTTAGTGATCAAATCCCCTATAAGCAGGCACTTAATGATCTTATATACATGCATGCTAAGGTATTTCAAGCTGACACATAAATATAAACAACACATTGTTTATTGTGTACAAAAAACAGAAATTAGTCCCTTTAGCGCAAACTGAACAGCAGTTATGCGTTTGACAAACTCAGCCAGATGCAGTGACTCTGCCCAGCTTCCGAGAGTCTTGTCGTCACAGCAGGGTTGCCAGTTTCTGACGCTACACTGTCTGTATACAGACCAAACCCAAAAACTGTCGTTTGATACGATCGCCGCAGGTTGCTGACTGCATCTGCCAGCCCACGCTATAACTGGAAATGCTGCACAGAATTGCTCTGTGAATGCATAAAATGGTGTTTGTCTAGAAATATTTTTAGCAGCTTTCCTTTTCTCCTCTCTGCACTTTTTATGAGAAATTGCGTGGCAGAAGTCGTGTATGTTCATCGCTTTCTTGGGATTCAGATTGATCATTTCTGTCACTTATTTTGGCCTAAATACTTGTTCAGTAAAAAGAAGAACAAATCAATTTAACATGAAAGTCTCTATAAATTTACAAAATTCTGTTTTTACATTCTTATATTGTGAATAAAAAAAAGTCATAAACTTAAAAGACATTTGTGTACTGCAACACCATTCTGGAAAAATGTATTTTTGGCACAGATTCAACGAGGTGAATATCATATCATATAAATATGTATATATATATATATGACACATATGATATATGTGATATCATATAAATATCTTGGGACCATAATCAATGAAAAACTCAACTTTGATCAAAATTGCAAATCCGTTTGTAAAAAGGGTCACCAGCACCTTTATTGTCTTAGGAAACTTGCTCATTTCCACATTGACCAAAAAATTGTAACTTTGTTTTATCGTTCTTTTATTGAGTCTGTTTTATCCTTTTGTTTGGTGGCGTGGTTTGGTCAGACCTCTGTCACAGAGAAAAACTCTCTAAATCAGATAGTGAGATGGTCCAGTCGTCTGATAGGCGAGCCACAGTCTTGTTTAGCCTCCCTGTGCTCTAAGCAGGTACAGAGGATGGCTTTATCAAGCCTTAAAAATGGTTCCCATCCTCTAAGGGGTGAATTTCAGCTTCTTCCCTCAGGACGGAGGTTTCTATTTCCGAGATGCAGGACAAAGCGTTATAAAAATAGCTTTGTCCC